ATCCACATGGGTAACATTAACATTATATCCCAATATTGGGACACCTGGCAGAGTAAACGGAGGAGCCCAAGAGAGTTGAACTGTGCAAAGGTCCTTCTTGAATACACTAACATCAATTTTAAAAAGTATGCCTAGAATAGTTAGTATATACCTAGAAATAGATTTGATGCACCTTGTATAATAACTTTTCCTTTATTACTTAAGTATAATTTGCTTGGCTCTGATGGATACCTACCAACACAGTAGACTTCAGTATTATTAAATGAAATATCAGGTACACCAGTAATTAGTGTAGAAATATTTTTGTTATTAGTCAAAAAAACATTTGATACTGGATGCCAAGCTACTTGCAATGAAGGATCACTTTTCATACACCAAAAGGTCACATCATCTCCAACAAAGGCAGTTACTAATAATGGAGATAAGATCAAAGTTGGCTGTGAAATAGAAGGAGCAACAAGGTAGAAAAGAATAACATCAATAAAAGTTAAGAAAGCCATTCTTCTCCAGTGGTAGATAGAGGTTTGTGTGTACAAATTGAATTCAGTATGCTGAGTAGCTATTATGATGCAATCTAGATCTAGCTATTTGCATGGCACATGATCAATGAATTAAAGAAGTAGATCTTAACCTAATTCATCAGCAATTACCATTTGGGAGATCTTATTTGCATATAGGTCTACACCATTATAAAAAGAATAAAATATCCATAACACTGTCAGTTACCTAAAAACCATGAAAAAGAATTAAAATTGATTTACTACATTCATTTATTCTACATTCATAGTATTTTGGCCAATAAATTATGGTATAACACTAAAAGTAAGGGCATACAGTAGCTTGATTGCTGTGTTTTGTATTGATTAAACACTTATTGTAATTTTTTTAAAATTAAGCTCAGTCTATATATAAATATCCCTATGTACATGTCTTATTTCAGTTGTTACATTCATGTGTAATTTAAGCTAAACTTTCTATTTATTTTTTGAGTAAGGTCTAATACAAAGCAAAATCACACATCAAGTAATTAAATCTAACTTACTTTTAACAAAAAAATAATTAATAATAATAATATTGATCATTATATCAACACAGAATAAAAAAGTAGTATTGGGATCACAATCCAGTTTAGTTTCACATCCTGTTGCAACACTGCCTCTTACATAATGTATACACAGATATCAACATACTGGATTTAATTAATTTATTAAGTTAAATCTAACAGTAAAGGCCCAGCATACAGTAACATTAAAGCAATTGGCATAATTCCTGCAACCCATATGTATTCAACATCCCAGTTAGCAGCTATAGCTATTCAGCTATGTTTTGTGTCAATTAACACTAAAATGTAGCAGCAATAAAACAGCTAAATATGGTGTCATTTAAAAATAATAAAGTCCACTCTGGATATTTCTACAGACATGTCTTTTCAGGTGTTACATGATTGGAGTATAAGGAATTTAAGTTAAATTTTCCTTTTCTTTTTTTTGTAAAGTCTAATACAAAGCAAAATCAAACATCAATTAATTATATTTAACTTACCTCTTATTATTATGCTCACTGTTATTAGTATTATGATGAATGACAAAATAATTACTAAAATAGGTACCACAACAGCAATTGCTAATCTGGTAGTATAGTTATTATCTAATGCAAAAAAATTAAATGCATTAATTAAGAATTATAGTAGTCTATACCAGTACTAGGTGTAGTTGGAGTAGATTGAGTAGCTATTTTTCCTGTTACATTAATGGTGCTTGTCACAGCAGGACCACTTGTATTTTGATTGACTTGACCAATTCTGTCATACACTTGAAGTAAGCATGTCTTAATTCCAACAAAAGTGAGTTCTTGAGTACACTGAAATTTGTCAAATTGATCATTATATCCATCAAAATGGAATAGAAAAGTAATATTGGCATCACAGTCCAGTTTAATTTGGCATCCTGTTGCAACACTACCTGTTACATAATGTATTAGCAAGCAAATAATTCCATTGGCTGGTGAATCTGTTTCTTCCACTGACTGAACATCAAATGTACCTAATAATAATGTAGCTAGTATTAATGATATCTTCCATACTTACTCAAGCTTGCTCCAGAAGATGATAAAACATTTTTTCCAACAATAGCTTCCACTTGCACATCATAGTGTTGATCCTCAGGTAGGAACAATAAAGTTGACAACAATGCTTGACTGTTTGATAATTTAATTCTTGTGATATTTGTTGTGTTGAAGCAAGGAGCATTGGTGACGGACTTACAAAACTTGTAGACAAATTTAGCATCTGCATTGCCACATATGGTAGTAACCTATATCAAAAAGTGTAATACATGGTATCTATGATTTGAAATTATATACATCAATATTAGCATCAACTTTCCATTTGTCTTGATCTCTCATTAAACCAACAATATTAATGATGAACTCTATACAAAGCATACATGAATAACATGATTTTAATAAATATATTGCTAAGTAATTTACTTTCAGTAAAATTTAATAGTTCTGTAGAATTGACTTTAGTGATTGTTTTATTGCCCTCACCAGCACCATTAACAGCAGCAATAGATACATAGTACTCATATCCAAGAGTAAAGTAAATGTTGGTGCCATTGATAAAACTATTGGTAGTGATATTTTTATCCAAATTGGTAATGTTAACATTATATCCTAGTATTGGAACACCTGGAAGAGTAAAGGGAGGAACCCAACTGAGTTGAACTGTGCAATCATCTATCCTGGAAATATTAACATCAATTTCTGAAAGAATATCTAAAATAGTATGGAGGCTATAAAAAAGAATAACGTATAATTGATTTAATCACCTTGTATGAGAATTTTTCCTTTATTACTGAAGTAAAGCATACTTAGCTCTGATGGATATCTACCAACACAGTAGATTTCAGTATTATTAAATGAACTATCAGGCACACCAGTAATTAGTGTAGAAATATTTTTGTTATCAGCCAAAAAAACATTTGATACTGGATTCCAAGCTATTTCCAATGAAGGATCACTTTTCATACACAAAAAGGTCACATCATCTCCAACAAAGACAGTTACTACTGATGGACTTAAGATCAAATTTGGCTGTGAAATAGAAGGAGCAACAAGGTAGAAAAGAAATACACCAGCAAAAGGAAGCATTTCTCCTTCACTCTTATATTGTATTCATATATATAAACATGTAATCTCATGACAATTGAATAGACACAGATAAGGACTATGAATTCAACAGCCAATTGTGTGTGTGTGTCTTACTGCAGTCATTGAAGATTACTGCAGAATACAGGCTGAAATTGTTGAACCATGCAGGTGGGGAAATTTCTACTAGTAATCATATCCAAAAAGCCTTGTCTGCCCAATGTGATCACATTATCTGTTTGTAATCCATGTTACCACTCTCAGCATTCCCACTTGCAGCCCGACTTTGCAAATACTATAAATGGTGCTTAAATTTTTGGCATTATTATTATACAAAGTGTGAAAGATAACAATTTTCATAAAAACAATAATGATCTAAATAATCATAATAAATTAAAAGCTTTATTTAAACATCCTTTTCTATCTTTTGAAAACTCATAATAAAACAAATCATCTATTTTTATAGTATTACTAGTATTATTTAATGCAAAGAAGCCAAAATAGTGATTGTAGATACCACAATAACCACAAAAATTCCAACATCACTATTCTTTAGCCTCACTGTGTTATGTGTGGACGAGTTAGGTACTTTGTCATCTATAAATAAAGTAAACACCTACACATTATTCATAATTTACTTTCAACTTCCTCAAATGATTTGAAGATAATTGTGACATTAACTGCAGGTCCTTTCCAAGAATTAGTGAAATTATCAATATCATAGCCTTGCAGAAAACAAGTAGAATTTGCTATCCCATCATCTTTAGATAATAGCTTTTCATAAGTAAAAGTATAATTTGAGTGCAAATTAGTGTTCAAGCAAATAATTTGAACTCCACATTCACTAGTAATGGCACCGTCTACATAGTCAGTATACAAACTAACACTACCATTACTATGGGGCTGGTTTCTGATGCCTTGTAAGTCAAATGTACCTGTGCATAAATCAAGACTAATAAAACAAAGGTTGATAACTTACTGAGCATAGAGGTTACACTTGAAGTATATATAAGCCTTTGAAATGCATAAAGTGACACATTAATATAATAGAATGCCTTCTCTGGTATTTCAATAGGACCATTTTCTAATATACCATCATTAACACGTGTCTTGTTCAATAGGTATATAATCTTTGTAGAAGTATGCTCCAAATGAAAGGCAAAAAATGCATTGCAACTAACATCATTCTATTAAAATTAATATAATTTCCATAATATAAAAATACACATACCAAAATTTTTTTGTGTTGCTGTTCATAACCAAATAAGGGTACACTAATTTTCCACTGCTTTTTGTCTCGAATTAAATGATGATCAGTAGCCCTCAATTCTGAGAAGATATCATCTGTAAAATAATGTATAATATAGTATAATGCATAATAGCATAAAAAATTACTTAAAGTGTTAAAGACTGAAGATGTAGTAATAGTTGAACTATTACCCTCTCCAACACTATTGACTCCAGCTACAGATATATTATAGTTATAG